GAATCAATTAGCGGCTAAAGCGAAGGATACAGAACAAAAGCAAACCCAAACCGTGACGGTGTCATCGGGCACCGTGAATTTCTTCTTGTTCAGCCCGGTGGCGATGCCAAGCCTCTCCATCTAAAAAATATAGATATCCCGATCCCTCAAAAACCTTTGCTAGGTATTTCCGGCACCGAGTCGTGCGAGCCGAGGCCCAAAGCGCCAGGAAATCCTGGTGGCAGCGACGCTCGAGAAACTGAACATAAAACACATCAATGATTTCAAAATAGCAAACCTTAGCCAGGGCCTCCATCCGCTTCCCGGGATCCTCGTACTTTGCACCAATCTCCACGAAATCGTCCGCGTAATTCTCAAAATAATTTTTTTTAAGAAACCATTCCCACAAACCTTCAGTTTTTCGTGACACGGTAAGATCATAGCTGGTTTGCTCTTTACCGCTTTATGAAGCAATTCCTCCTGGCCCTGCTCGTCCATTTCCTAAAAAAAGCGTAAGGAAAAAAGCATAGAAATTGCCTGCGAGTAGAGACGCAGCCATACTTTGTAGATGAGATATTCGTTGATACTCTAAAACCCGCATAGAAAAATTGGGAGTGATAATACCTCCCAATAGGCCTTTGAATCCATTTTTTCTATCCATCCCAGCCATGAGCGCGGCAACGGTCGCGTGGTTTTTTTGCTGCCAAATGAAGTTGGCAGCTTCTCGTCGGAGTCGGTTTTCTCTAAACTTGTCATTCATATAAAAACCTCAAAAGACCAACCAGTTTTGCCCATTTCTTGTTCGAGCTCCTCCTTGGCTCTCACAGTCTCGAGATCTTGACCAACGGGCTCAGTAGCCAGCGACTTCTTCAGCAATTTCCTGTCGCTAAAAACAATTCAAGCCTGGGAAAATGTGCCTACACAAGAAATTGCCTCGTTAGCAACACGTCGCAGGTGTTGACCGTTTTCTCGTCAAAGTAGAACGTCGTCCAGACTAGGTTTCTTGCGTATTCGTTTCTGGATTCCTGCGTAGTCTCTTCGACTGCTTCTTCCATATAGAATCTGAAACGTATTGTTTATTTGTCAATCGCAGTTCAACTTTAAAGAATTTATGAATTTTCAAAATACCAAAAAGAAATTTCCAAAAAAAAATGTTTTTCGAATCAGTTACAAAACCAAATCTTCAAGGCTACGGAAGAATACGACCGATTGCGTCCAAGACTGCGTGCTTTGCAACTAGTTACACGGCCTAATAAAAACAGCCTTCAAAAATTTGGTTTCATTTATAAAATTTTTAAAATCTTTCTAAAATTTCCTCCAATGCCGCCTAAGAACACGAAATCTTCAGCTGAAATATTGGATTTGGATGCTGTGTTTTCCACGCTGAAGGTAGGTCCCTCCAGACGAAAGTAGCCGACAATCGAAACCTATTTAGTTAGAAGAAATTCAAGATTTATTTCAGGGGGAAAGCTATGAAGAAAAGTACATTGGATTAATGCGACATTTGGTGGAGCAACGGCGGATGGATTCTGACAACCCGATCGCTACTGTGAGTCTGAGCAAATGTTAAAAACTGGAGATTTTAGCTGGCTGTGATCAAATTGTCAGTGGAGTTCGATTTCCCGCTGAGCACGGCTCGAAAAGAGAAGGTCCATGAAATGTAGGTGATATTGAGTAGGTCGATGAGCTCTATTTAGAGTCCACGAAGCGAGCACTCACTACGAATTGGCTAAATTGCTGGACCAGGGGCTCGAGAAGCGCGGGTTCGCTTTTTATAAAGCGTTGACGAAGAAAACGGAGGAGTCTTTTGGCGAGCGAGGCCCGCTGGCGATCATGGACGGTGAGTCGGACGAAGATATTTCAAGAAAATAAATCTAGACATCACACAAATGATCAAGCGCGCGGATTTGCCGGGCATCTACTCCACGGCCTCCCAGAAGATGACCAACATACAGAAGATACACTTTTTGCTCGATCTCATCATACTCCGAGTGGATGCCACGCCGCTGTTGTCGGCAAAATTTTTGGCGCTGGTGCACGGGCTGTCGGCTGAAGAGTTGCGAGGGATCAGCTTTGCTCAGATTTGTCAGTCACGCTAATGTCGAATTCTAAAAGCGGAAACCATTTTAGTAATCCGCCTGCTATTGCTCAAACTATATCACGGACTCCCGGAACAATGCTTTATACCGCAATACTTCGATCAAGCCACGGTGAAGGCCATGACACGGCTTATCATAGTTTCGGCAGCGAACGGCTTCAGGTTTGTTTCTATTGGATGACCCTCTATAACATTCTTAGTCTGGATTCACACCGACTGGGCTTCGCCGACTTTATCGACTTCACAGCGGCTTTGATGTGCCGATTTTTGGAGGTTGGCGAGGAGAAAATCGCGAAAAAGTAAGTCTTTCTTGGCAAAAGTGCTCTTTTTGGCATAATACGCAGTTTAAAATTTTCAGGGATTTCGATGAAGTGCAGCGTTGGTTGCGCTACGATTCGGGGGACAGTAACAAATTGTTGGCTGTCTTTTTGGCAGAACCTGGGAAAAATGACCCATTGGGCGAGGACCGGCTGGCCTGGTGTCTTCTGGGCGTCATTTCTCAGCTGCAGACGATCTACGGGATTACAGGTCGGTTTTGTATCGAGATGGTTGACGTATATTTTTAGAAAGTACGCTCGGTTTACACATACCGGAAGTGTTCGGACTAGACTGCCGCTACGTGGAGTATAACACAAAGTTGAAGGCGTTGAAAGGAAGCCTTGAGACTTATAAAACGATCGTCGAACGATGCGGTAATCGGCTCGCTGTTATTAATATCATTTTCTAGGCGGCCACTCGACAGTTTCCAACTTTTCGCAATTGCTGCAAATTTGTGGTGCCCACAAAATGTCGCTGGACTTGATGGCAACGGTAGTGAAAAATCAAAAGGCAACTCAAAAGGATCTTTACAGTTTCACAAAGATTCTCACACGCCGGAAGCGTCGTGTACCGAGATTTTCATCCAGATCTACGCCCACACCGGACTGCTGGATTTTAGGACGGTGTGTTTTGTTAGGGAACCGGAATTGGTAAATGGATTTAGGCAGCTCAGCTTTGCGCGATGCTCTTTGGGAAAATGCCGCAAGATTGGGTGGATTTCCGGAAAGCCGTAAGTCGATTTCTTAGCGATTTGGACTTTTAAACCGATGAAATAAATCTATAGCGTTAATCATATTTCCAAAAAGTGAAAAACACCTATATTTAGTCGCAAAGTGGCGTCTTCAACTTGAACGCGTGTTTCGCTATCGAACAAACCGACGCGCATCAGCTGGCGGCGGCTTTGCTGCAGAACGCGTTGCTGAAGATCGCCAGCAGTCAAGGATATCAGGTAGCTAATTAAAACATTATTTATAAAAACAATTATACCAATTTTACACCAAATTCTAGACAAACATGGCAATGTGCATCCTGCTCGTGCTGTGCCGGGAGATCACACAGCAATTCGTCAAGAATTGGCACCCGCCGGTGGTGGCGGCCATCAGCCGGGCGTTGGCCGAAAAAGTAATTTTTTTCAATTTAACTGAAATCAACTTTTTAGAAAAGCTTAATCTTGCCTGGGCTGTTCGACTACATCCGCGTGCCCTACGTGTGCAAGGCGGTCAGCTCGTTTGAGGGGATTTCGTCGGAGCAAGCGCGCGAGTTGTTGATTCGGAGCGGGTGAGGCTTTTCACCTAGTTGATGCCGCTGAATTCAACTAGCAGGGATAGATTCTGCGTTTAGGAAGCGTCTATCCCCCAGCCGCTGCATCTTCCTGCTGCGCCACCTCCTGGAGAAGCACCCGGAAGTGCTGCAGCTGGCCCTGGATCCCACTGTCAAAGCTGAAATGGCCGCAATGTCCGATGAAGATAGGCTTCAAATTATCGAAATCGTGGCCGGCTCTGAAGGGGGATCTTCTTCTGGGCGTTCGACGCCGGCGGTGGTAAGCGATCGCTTCTTCTCGTAATTTTCTCACTTTGAAAGACAAACTACATCTGAAAATAATTTCAGATTTTCCTCGAGGACGACGACGCGTCACGTAGCACTGGGATTCGAGGCAGCAAAACCCCTGTCCACTTCGACCTGGCGATGGACGGCGAATTCATGGAGATCGATTCTTCGGAGACGTTCGGCACCGCCGTCAATTTTCTGCCCCATGATGCGACGTTGGAGGCGCAGCAAACGGTAGGGTGATAGGAATAAACCATATAATCATAAAGAAACACAAAATGAATGATAAATAAGACCATTCTTCATTATAGTGGGCGCGCCAGTACAACGAGTACAAATCGGAAAAGCTCTCTCGAGGGATTGATGACTATGAGGATTGGTCGGATGATGATATGAAGGAGGCGGCTGAGGAATATGCGATTAAGGTAGGCGAGAGAGAGAGAGAGAGATATGTACATTAAACCGAGATCCCAATCCATTCCAAAATTTCAGAATCGAGTCACCGTCGGGCAATCCGGATGGCTGGACGGCATCGCGCTTTCAAAGAACTTTTAACGCCATTTTAATGTGTTGAACAATGCGGGTCTCGACTACGGATATTTAAAGGCTTCTAGAATCAGATTAATAAACGTTTTTGTAATCATTACCATTTTTGGATTGTGCAATGAAGAGCGCTACGGAAGTTCTAGGGCACGATACGATACACTCTGCCTGGTTACTGACTTTCTTCCGTAATTTACTCCAGAAGTCCAATAATTTGTATATTTTCGGCCTGATGTATCCAGGACAAATTTTTTTCAATGATTTTTGGCGCCAGAAATTGACCCCTTGGACCTTTGGGTCAATTTTGCCCCAGTAACGTTACCTCGGGCATCAACAGACATCCTGCATTGATTTGCATGGCGGCAGAGGGCTCGTTGCAATCGGGTCATATTCTTCGTTATCTATTTTCATTGGTTTCCGATCTTTTGAGTTTTTGATGTAAAGGGAAATCATAACTTCCTGCCAATTTACTACAACTCCTCTGACACCGGACAGGGCTCACTTTAGAAGCAACATGGTGGCGATAGGTAAGGAAGAGCGGGCCGGAGGTGATCCGGAAACGAAAACCGACATGACAAATGTGGAGAAGGGAGATGTGGAAAAGCGGTACGTTTTGAAAGGGATAAATGAGTAAAATTACTTCAGTGAAAAAATATCATAAATTGCCGGTGTCTGCGCATTTCGTATCAGTTAACCACAAATACGTGTTTTTAGTGATCCATCGCCTGTGAAGTCATACTCGCAAAAATTCTGGGACATTGTGCAGGGCGGCTGGAAGTGGACGTCCGTGAAGCCCGAAAAACGCGAGAAATGGATCATTTTCGGCAGTACGGTGCGTTTTTGCTTGGCACAGCGTAGCTGAGATCTATTTCTCTTTGAAATCTTTGAAGTCTCTGGCTTTTACCCTTTCGTAATCTTTTTGCAGCTCTACACGGAGGGAAAGTCAGGCGAATACACAGCACAGGAGCTGCTCTTCGACCGAATCTCGCCTGACCCGTCGAATCGTCTTGTTTACGTCGTCAGTTTTATATTTTTTTCCACGTCACTTACTTTCGATTTGAAAAGTTTTTAGCGACCTAGGCGTACGAGACCAGTCATTTCCCCTTCCCTGACCTGGAACAATTGCACAGATAGAAAATTTTCTAGCCTAGATGAGCTGAGGCTGCCTAGATTTGTCGGCTGTGAAAATCAAAATATTCAGCGCACGGTCGACTGGAAGCCATTCATCGCTAATCCGATCCCGTGCTCATCCATGTATCTCCACTTTGAGACGCGAGTTGAGCAAGTTCGGGTTCTGGAAACACTCATAGCCGCCTATGCCGAGCCAAAACCGACCTTGTGGAATATTAGCGAGGAGGTACGCGAATTGCCAGAAACTCGATTTGCTCGGCTGCTCGGCGCGATTCAACTTTTCGTACTATTCTAGTTCCGGGGGCAAAATTTTTTAGGTGGTTTTTGGGCTACTTGTTCAGTTATTCGCGACTAATCAAGCGCAAGGCTCTACTCCTAAACTAAGCTAAAAGAAGCCCAGCACGCTTGAGCTTGAACAAGCTAAGCCGAAGCAAAAATCAGCGAAGCTATCAAAGGTACTTCACCCCACCCAGAAGTTGCCTAAGCCTGAATTCACGGGGGAAACCGAACTTTTTTCCGACCAAGTCTATATTTATTATATAAATGGTGGAAGTGTTTCTAAATTGTTTATAGCTATTATTAAACATAAAAACTTCACAAAATTTAATTAAAAAATTTAATTTTATGTCGTAAAATCAATTTTTTCGGCCCAAAAATGACCAAATTTTCGACTTTTTCAAGCGTTTTTCTAACTTTTTCAAAAGTTTTTCCGATTCAAATAGGCTTAAATTTTGCTAAAAACAATGTGAAAACACTTTATATTTTATTACTATCCCCACCAGGGTCGACAAAAAAAAGTTGGTTCCCCCCGCCCGCGAATTCTCCCCCTCTCCCCCCGGGAATACACAAGTACCAACATTCTTAGGGTCCAATTTTGGGGCCAAAAATTTGACCTAAAGAAATTTTTCCCAAGGTCTCAGATTGTTTATCCAGTGAAAATATAGTTAAATTTTACCAAACGTTTGTTGGAACTATTAGGTTAATAGCAGACATGGCAATTCCGGGCGGCCGAGCCCCGGGGCCGGGCCTGGAACCTAATTAACATGAAAAAATCGCCCACTTCCGGGCCCCGCAAAAATATGCAAATTCGCGGGGCCGGGCCCGGGCCCGGCCGAACTTTTCCGGGGCCGGGCTCGGCCGATTCGGCTCGGCCCCGGAAACTAAAGTAGCTAATTTGCGTCTGAATTCGGATGCTAATATGCAAATCTGCAATGAAAAGTGAGGCGCTTTCGTTCAGTTCTGACATCGGTCTTGCTGAAATTAGAATTTGCATGACAATTCTGACTGAAAGTGATTTACGACCGGGATTTCTGATTAGCGTGCGGCCTTGCGGCCCCGGGCTCGGCCCCCATTTTGGCTTCACCCGGGGCCGGCGAGAAAAGCCGAGCCCCGGCCCCGCCGGAAATGGGGCCGAGCCCCGTCGGCCCGGCCGCATGCAAATTTTTGGGGCCGAAAAAGCCCGGGGGCCGGGCCCGTTGCCATGTCTGGTTAATAGGCATTTCTAGGCTGCTGGGACAAAATTCGGATCCACTTCGCCCGATAAACTCGTCAAATTTATACTATTAGGACGATCAACTACAAATCGAACACGAGCGGGAGCTCGCCGAAAAACTGGATGACGCCGAAGCGCAAAACCCTGTTGCGGTCTCTTCTTGCCGAGGAGCATACACGGCTGCATTGGATTGGAGTATGTATCAAAAGCGGCAATGGCTGAAATGGCTCGGCGGTTTATCGTTGCTGCAAGAGCATGGTGGAAATTGTGCGACTGCTGCAAAGTGGAAGGTGCGGACGTCGTTTATTTATTTTATTTTGAGTTTGCAGAGGGACTGCATTGCCATGGACTGCAAGGTTAAGTCAGTGAAAGTCCGTACGCAGTTCGGTCACCTCAAAGTGGAGGCGTACGAGAATAAGAATGGACATCTCGTCGAAATTCAACACAGAAGACTTTCGGATGAACCAACAAGCAGATGGTGCGTTCTCTTTCTCTCTCTCTCACTCTCTAACCCTGACCCAGAAGCTTTCTAGTCATACAATAATGCCGTTGGTGGCCATTCCTGGGATCGCCGATGTTTATGAGCGATATGTCGATTCTGAACATTATCGACGTGAGGTGGAAGGTAAGTAACGAAATTGTCGGAAAGTGGTTTAGCCGCTGCTCGCATTCATCGCTTTCTTTTTCTCCGACTGAACTTAAGCTTGTTCTCATGCTCGATTCCAGATTGGCCCGACGTGGAGGTGATGACAGAGTGTGCTTCTCAACTATTCGAAAAGGGAGCCGGAGAATGCTGCCCACCATCGCAAATCACCATCTGATCTTCTTTTCTCCTACTCGCTTGTGTACCTCACACTTTACCGATTTTTTCTTTAATCGTATAAAGCTTTTACTGAAGAGTCAGTACCAAAAGTGCCACAAGATTCGAGGAGCCACAAACTTTATTCAAGGTCAAGACAAACAGTATCATGCTTTAAAGAAGTGCTTCCATTTTGTCCGAGTTGTTGTGGGTTTCGATCGGTGAGAAGGAGGTATCGGGTGTCCCGGGTGAATTTTGGTCAAAAACGACCATCCTAGCTCGAAAAATCAAATTTTTTTGTATTGGAACAATTCAGCTGGTTATAATTATAATAATGACAGTTGCAACCTAATAAAAAAATTTTGGTTCACCCGGCTACGGTTTACTTTACCCCCCAGCCGGAAGGTTTTGGCTATAACTTTTTTATTTTACATTATTGTAGGCTCAAATTAAAACTCTTAGTATATTTTTCGACGCTCTATCGAATGGCGGTGCAAAAATCCCGACAAAATAAGCGAAAATACCGACAACTTTGAGACCCTTCGGCTGTGGGGGGGGGTAAAGTAAACTCTTACCGTTCACCCCTACGATAATGCCAAAGATTTCTATTTTCTAATTGGCGCCACAATCGCGACACCGCTCGGCCCTTCGGGTCGATTTGGACCTTGTAACATAGCCTTGGGCATCATCCGACCTGCTACAATCATTCGAGGGTGGGCTAAGGGTCCAATGCTGGCGAGTCACATTGTTTCTTTGCCTGCTATCATTGGTTTTCGGTCTTGTTAAGCTATTTTGAAGTAAATTACAAAGTTCTGTCAATTTACGACGAATTCCCTGAGCGGAAAAGGGCTACTTTAGTAGCAACATGGTGGCAATCGGGAAGGAAGAACCAGAAGCATGCATTTCGAAGCCGAAAATAGAGGCAACTTTGGAGGAGGGAGGTGTGAAGAAGTGGTATGTTTCAAAAACGAAAATCCTGCAAAGGGTTCCGTTACGCGTGGTACTGTACTGTTGGGGGGGGAGGGGCTGCCTAATTTTGATTTATCCCCGTTTCGACACCCTATTTTGGTAGTTCTGGCATAAAAAGGTCATAAGTAATTATTAAACTTCTGGCAAAAAATTGATTTTCGGTTGAAAATGTTTGAAAATCATCGAAAATTTAAAATGATTGCATCTTGGAAAAACGTTCTTATGATTTTTTAGTATCTAAAAACTAAAAACAACCCTATAAAATACACTATAAAGCTAAATTGCGATTTTTTTTGCCAGGGCTAGGTAGGAATTCTAGAGTAGATATCCCCCCCGCTAACAGTACAGTATCTAGTAGATTGTCGTAGCCATTAACGAGCATGAGGGATAGGGTTTTCATATGATCATGGCCTCAAAAGTGATGTATTTAGCGATCCGTCGCCGGCGAAGTCATACTTCAAAAAATTCTGGGACATGGTGCAGGGTCGCTGGAAGTGGTCGCTTATTCCACGTCACAACCAGACAAATGTTGTTGCTCCGGTTGTTGCCTCCGAGAAGAACGAAAAACGCGAGAAATGGATTATTTTCGGTAGTACGGTCAGTTTCGCAGCGTTTTTATTGTCTTTAAACGATTTGTTTGCAGCTCTACACGGAAGGAAAGTCAGGCAAATACACAGCACAGGAGCTGCTCTTCGACCGAATCTCGCCTGACCCTTCTAACCGTCTTGTTTATGTCGTCAGTTCTATATTTTTTCCACGTCACTTACTTTCCAGTTGAAAAGTTTCTAGCTACCTAGACGTAGCAGACCAGCCATTTCCCCTTCCCGGACCTGGAATATTTACAAAGATAGAACATTTTCTAGCCTAGATGAGCTGAGGCTGCCTAGATTTGTCGGTTTTGAAAATCAAAATATTCAGCGCACGCTCGACTGGAAACCATTCATCGCGAACCTGATCCCGTGCTCGGCCATGTATCTCCACTTTGAGACGCGAGCTGAGCAAGCGCGGGTTCTGGAAACACTCAGAGCAGCCTATGCCGAGCCAAAACCGACTTTATGGAGTATGAGCGAAGAGGTACGTGGGTTGCCAGTATACTTCGTCGTCGTCCCCCCTTCCCCCCGACTCGCAAGTGCGCGCAATGTGTGGTTAGATAGATCTCAATACTTGTTAAAGAGCTGCTATTTTTGATAATATAAAATACAGCAGCACGTGGTTGTCGAATGTTCTCTAATGCCGAGAGCCCCGACGAGCCAATTTGCTCTAATTTTCAAATTTCTACAGTCTCAAGGATTTGAGTGCCCAGCCTTTCAATTATTTAAAATTTTGGGTTGGTATGCACTCTGATTTTTCATCGATACTCTGTCAGGTAAATCAGAGCTTTCTAGTATGTGTTTTGTCGGGCGAGCTAAACCACAATTTTCGAATTCGTCATTAATTTTAAAAAGTAAAAAAACTTAATCTAAACATCAAAACATCAGACTATCCAAAAAACGTATGTGGATCTCCAACTAGAAGGTTCGATTTAGTTTTCCCGACTACGCAATACGGGTGCCAGAAAAACGGGGGGGGGGGAGGGGGAGGGGGATCCGGATTATTCAAAGAGAAACTGTTTCAAAAGTGCGTTTGTTATTTCTAAAGGTACGAACTTTTCATATCTATCAAAAATATCAAAAATCAAAAATAGGAAAATTCTATGTTTATAATCAAATTATGCCAAAAGTTTGATGGAACTACTAACTATTACGTCACTAGGCATTTCTGGGCTTCCGAGAGGAAATCCGGTTCCCCTTCGCGCGATAACTATCCTCCCCCCCCCACCCCCGAAAATGCGAAAGCACCTGAATTTATAATCTATTAGGAGGCTGAACTAAAAAGGGAACACGAGCGTGAGCTCGCCGAAAAACTGGATGGCGCCGGCGCGCAAAACCCTGGTGCGGTCTCTTCTTGCCGAGGAGCATACACGGCTGCATTGGATTGGAGTATGTATCAAAAGCGGCAATGGCTGAGATGGCTCGGCGGTTTATCGTTGCTG